GTTCACAACACTCATGCTTCAAATCCCCAACTTGTCCGAGGAAGATCTCTTATTCTACTTCGTCGATGGATTGCAACAGTGGGCACGACAAGAGGTACAACGACGAAATGTTCGGTCTGTAGACGAAGCAATTGCCATTGCCGAGTCCCTAACCGACTTTCGTCCCCAACACCACTTTGATCCATCGAAGAGAAGGGACGTGAGTCCACCAATAGGTGGGGGAGAGCAGCATCATCACCAAGAGGAGGATAACCCAAGGAGGTCACCAACTCCAAAGAGGGACAAGGGCGTCGCACGAATGGGAGTACGAGGAAAAGAAGAATGCCTTCGTGCCAAAGTTTGCGTGCTACATATGCAAGGGGCCGCATCCAATGAGGGATTGTCCAAAGCTTGGATCACTTTCGGCCATGGTGGAACAACATGAGGCCAAGACCCACGAGGACGAGGAAGAGGAGACAGCTAGGATGGGATCACTGCAACTCCTCACTGCCCTTAGCGCCAAAACAATGCCTACGACGACGAACAAGGGGTTGATGTACGTCGAAGCATTTGTGAACGGTAAGCATACACAAGCTTTAGTAGATACGGGTGTCACACACAATTTCGTGACCGAGGATGAGGCTAGAAGACTCGGTCTTCGTTGGTCAAAGGGGGAAGGTTGGCTCAAGGCTGCCAATGCAAGAGCCCAACCACTAAACGGCGTAGCACAAGGCGTGGAGTTACGCCTAGGCACTTGGAGGGGCCAAGTGAACTTTTCCGTGGCACCATTGGATGATTATAAAGTCGTGCTTGGGATGGACTTTTTCCGTCAAGCCACTGCCATCCCCATGCCATCCTTTAACGTGCTATGTATTTTGGAGAAAGGGTCCATGTGCATGATCCCAACCATCGAAGCTCCCAAGAGGCAAGTAGAGGGGGCACAACGACTATCAACCTTGTAAGTCGTGGAAGGAGCCAAGGAAGGAAAAGCCAACATCGTGGCCAATGCTTGGGTGAAAAAGAGGAGGAGGCCACAAGAGGATAAGCCGCGCCATAAGGCCATGGGAAGCCGGAGGAAGACTTATGGCAATTGCAAGACGTTTGGAGGCATACACGGCGACGAGGGCGTCGCCAAATTAGGTGGGGGAGGATGTAACGCACGGGCAGCGTTACTACGAGATTCCGGGGGTTGCTACGCATTTCCGGAGTTTTCTAGCACTTGCACGAAGCATCCCATAGTTGGTAGAATAGCTTGGAGGCATAGAGATAACACTAGAAGAGGTAGGGATGCTATAGAACATTCTAGAACATTATAGAATACTCATAGTTGTGTAGGGATGTATAGAGTATTCTAGAATATTAGGGAATTCTCCCACTTGTGTAGGGAATTTTGGAGGATTCTAGAGGATTTCATATGAGGAGGTGGAGTAGTATAAATACCCCACAAGGGGCTCATTTGTAAACCATCCAAGGAGGAATCCAAGAAGGGATCCAAGAGGAAATCTAAGAAGGAATCAATAAAGCTCTCAAGTACTTTTGCAATATTCTTGCCAACTTATTTTCCTAGCCATCCCACCAATTACGTAGCATACTTTCGAGGGTCGAAAGGGAGGTTGACTTGGCTATTTAGAGGGGAAAAATAGCTAAGGCCGCACGTGACTTAGTGAGGGAAAATAAGTCCGTGACACAATGCCCATCATTACTATCAACCCAACATTCATTTCACTGTTTATGGGCCCTATATATAAGCTAGGTTACGAGAAAACACGCGGTCATTATTCGAGGATATATTCGTGTGTAATAGTATGCAAATTATATGTCTAAGAATATACAGTGAGTAAGTGTAATATTTATCCCACAATTCAGACTAAAGAGACAATGCAAATCGTGTAGTTACTACTTTAAGGGTGTGAACTAATTAAGTAAACATTGTTCTATGTATTAGTCCGCGAATCGCATATAAGAGATAAATTACACTACAAAGACCTTGTACGATCTGCTTGATCTAGAGGATATTGATAAGAATAAAACTCATGACATTCTGTTACGAGAATCATGTTCAACCACTATCAGCCACCCTTTTTGGAAAACAAGTGCTATGTCACAAGAATTTTAAAAAAGGGATTAAAAAAAAAACATAAATTTTCCCTAAAATCCTCCGCGATTTTTACTAAAGCCACCAATTTGAAAAATCCCGTGTCAAATCGTCAAAAGATTTATAGCTTATATAGTAGCTTCATTGTTCAAATCGAAAAGCAAAAAACAAAAACAAACAAAATAAGAAGCAATATCCTAGTTGCATATAATGCAAGGTCGTTGATTGTTAAATGATTTTGATGGATATGATGCATTGTTGGATGTGAAATAAGATAACAATTTAAGTTGTTTAATGGGAAAAAACATGTAATATTATTTTATTCTTTATTTTAAAGCGCGTACAATCTGCTAGATTACTTTACGTGTAGTACCGTGTAACTACTTTCTTAATCTGCTGAAGCACAAAAGTCAATAGCGTCTCAACTTAAGCTCGAACCCACAACCTCTCATATGGGAGATTAATTTAGTGTCACTATATCATAAAGTTATTGAAAACTGTAGGCTTTTCTAGTCACTTAAAAAAATTAGAGGTGCTATTTAAATATTTAAGTTTTAATTATTATTTTTTTGAGAAGAAGTTTTAATTATTTAAAAAGGAGTATATCTTATCGTTAAGTTATGGACGGAATCTGTCAAACAAACATTATAGCAAGGCGGACGTGACGAATTCCGTAATTCCAAAGAATTGAAAAGTCAATTATTTAAGTGCTGTGAATTTTAGTTGGAGCCGTTGGAAACGCCGCTAATCACTCCCATATTTCTTCTAAAAATATGTTAACTATATAAAAGTTTAGGAAAATAAAAATAATTAATGTGTGACCGGAGACCCTATTCTAAACTTTTTACAACTAATATTTGATTAGACTCAACAATTGTATGCTTTCAAAAAAGACTCAAGAATTGTATCTCGCGAAATAGTATTATTGAGACTCAATTTTGGTCCATTGACTATTGCACTTGTCCCCACCATTTAAGATTAATTGTTGATTTAAAATTTTCCGGTTACATTTGGCCGGCGTGACCAAAATTGATAAAAATTGCATAGTCAGTGTACTAAATTAACATTTTTGATAGTCAAGTGTTACAATTAACACAAGTGCAATAATCAGTGGATCAAAATTGAAGTTTTCTCTAGTATTATTTTATTTCAACGTTGTTATCTAAAATAGTAAATATTGAGACAATTATTGTTAATTCAATTTTAGTTTAATAATAACTTAATTTACGTTATTTAAAATTTGAATTAACTATTAAATATAATAAACATTGTTTGAGAAATTACCATTGAATTTCACCCCAACTCGGCAATTGACCTATGAACTCTGCAGAATTAACGATAGGAAATTGTTTAAGGCAAAATGAGATGAGCAGTCGAGTTGGTGGCTCAATCATATACATCAAAACATATTAAGCGATAAGATCATGTCAGAGTTAGTGCCGATGAATTCTGCATTGATGCTATAGAATGATATGGAAGGCACGGCAAAAGATAACACGTGTAACTATCTCATTTGTAGATTGTAACACTATAATACAAGTATAAATATTATTTTGGAAAAATCAACATTTTGGTCCTTCAACTGTCAATCTAGTCTTTAAATTTTCAATTTCAACCAATTTGATCATCAATTAAACCCTTTCAGAGACCAAATTGACCAAAGAAAATATTTTCCGTGAATTTGAGAAAAAATAATTTTCCTTTGTTTGGTTCATTGAAAACATTTTCCATTGGAAAACTTTTTCTTCAATAATATGATGAGGAAAACATTTTCCATGGAAAATAAGTAGGACAATTATGCACTCACCAACTTTTATTAATTACCATTATTATTATTATTATTCCCAAAAGGTTGAATCCCCAACGCCCCGACCCGACAGAGCATTGGAGGATGTAAATCATGGTAACTCAACCGAACCATAGAAACTGCGCACAAAAAGCGTCCATCACTTTGAGAGGTTGCTCTCACATTGTGGCTGGTGAGACTCGATCTCTGGTCATTCTTCCGAAACTTCACCCCTATGACTAGTTGAGCTGCCCATGCGGGCATATTATTATTATTATTATTATTATTATTATTGTTGTTGTTGTTGTTGTTGTTGTTGTTGTGTAATTAGGATATAATTATCTTTATATTCATATTCCTTACAATTCTAAACTCAGCCAAGCAATGATATCAATATTTTTTTTCATCAACCAAACAATGTAATTAATCTTCTGTGTAATTTATTTTTTCATGAATTTCAATTATATTTCACCTCAAATACTTTTCGTGAACCAAATGGGCCGTAAAAGATGCGACAGAGACTATTTAACAAAAGAAACCAGACAAAACCAAAAGCTAAGCAACTTTAGTGCATTTATATTCTTGATTAAAATCCCCACTTATGAATTTATATCTAATTTTATCGCTGGTTAATAGAAATTTACGTAATAATCAAAGTTACACTTCAAATTTTATATCAATGATAAAAGGTATATATGTTTGTAAATTTCATTATACAAACATAATAACTTAAAAAATTAAAATTATAAAAAAAAAATATTAAACAAATTCGTTTGACAAGTAAAATTTATTTCATAATAATAAAAGGATATATTCCTTCAGTTAAAAATATAAACGGATAGTTACACTACACATTTACTTATTGTCGAAATCATTTAGTGATGATAATTTAGGAGACAAAACATAAATATACTACCTAGTACTAGGTATGTATTAATAATATATTTATTTACAAATAATTATTAATGATGAAAAGTATAATTATTTAGGTTTAATAATTTTGAAGAAAGTTATTGTTAAAAAGAAGAGAAAATGATGGCGAAGCGCAATGATTTGTTTCCCATGTTTGATCGGAGCAATCATCATTGTTATTACTGTAATATATTTTGGATGCACAAACTTTCCACCGCGCAATCATTTCTACTCTGAAGAACAAATCCATGATTCCACCATACCTTCACCTCTGCTAGCTCCGACGTTTTCCGGGGACTTGTAGCCGTGAAAATTGGAGGAAGTTGCCGGGATGGTGAGTTTTCCGATCGCCGCCGGGGAAGTGCAGGAGAATATGTTGTTGTTGGAGGATGACTGGGGTTGCCGGGATGTGGATGAGTTTTCCGATCGAAATCCGCCGCCGTCCCAACTGGCGGGTGTGGTTTCGCTCCGCCTGGGGGAGATGAGGCTGGGAAGCGCGGTGAGAGCTGCGGCGTTTGCTGAGCCAAATGCGTCCATGAAACCGCCCATTTTAAGCTGCGAGGTGTTCGATGAAATGCCGAGGAGAGTTGAGGGGGTAATGCTTGAACCGGAAGAGATATTGTTGTTGTTAGTGGTGGAAGAAGCTAAAACGTCAACCAAAGTAGACGGCGGAAAGGAAGAGGAAGGCGGAGGAGGAAACGCCGGGTGGAGCGGTTGGATTTTCTGAGCAAATGGGCGGCGGAGATACGGCGGAGATGGACGGATATTGTCGGCGAAGTGAGAGGCGGCGCCAGATCTCATGGCGGAGGGCGCGGCCAAGGTATCGAGGCGGGTTCTGGAGAACGGCAAGGACGTGAAAGGCGGCGACGGAATCCCGGTAAATTCCTGAACCATAGCTCGGAAATTGGAGGTGTCTGTGGTGAGCACGGTGGTCGGCGCTCGTCTCGAAGCTCTCGCCCGTTTCTTCGGGTTACGTACAACGTGGGCTTGATCATACACTCTCCCATCCCCAGTCGCCGCCGTAGCACCACAAGCATGCTGTTCCGCCGCCAAAGGAAATGAAACCGGAGCTGATTGCCCGGCCAAACCGCCGCCGGAGACGCGCTGTTGGCTATTAGAGGAGGCTAACATGGGGTTGTTGTCAGGTCTTAGGGTTTTAGACCATACGGCCGGGGGCGGGGTTGAGTTGTGTTCGCCGGGAAGCGGCAGGAGAGGTTGTTCAAACAGTTTAGACAACAAAGGATTATACATGGCAGCGTTGGCGGCGGAATGGGGCGGCGGATACGGCGGTTGTGGGTGATGGGAAATGCAGTCAACGACGACATGATGATGTGGCTGAGCTAGCAAAGCAGAAATGGAATCTCCCCGTGAATCGTACTCATCATCGCCGCCACTCGACGACTGTAAACTCCCACTCTTTCCAGAATCCATATCTCTCTCTCTCTCTGTCTGTGAACTGCGATGAAGACAGAGACTTAAAGCTGCGATCTTTTTGCTTATCTTCGCCGGCAGTGTTGTTGAAACTTGAAAGCAGCTAAGCAAGGTAGGGTTTTTTGATCAGAAGAATGAAGGAAGGAAGGAAGGGAGGAGAAGAGAGAGCGGTTATATTATCTTAAAGCAAAGATGAATCTCTACAAGAGAGGCGGCTTCAACAGTTCCACCCAAAAGATCAGAGTGGGGTCGCCATGAAAGACTCTTTGAGAGAGAGAAATTGGCAAGTTGTCAAAATCAGAGTGAGATTGATAGTGTTCTTAGCTTTGTGATTAAGATTTACAACGTTAAAATGTAAAGATAAATATTTTTAAAAAATAACATAAAAGTTTTTGTTGTTGTTGTAAATATATATGAGTTATTTTTATTTTACAAGCACATTATGTACACAAACAATTACATGTTTTTTAAAGGGAAAATCACACTTTTGGTCCCTCAATTGTTGCCTGATCTGCAATGTGGTCTCTCATTATTAATTTTATTCAATTGGATCCCTCAAATCTTTAAATCGTAGTCAATTTGACCCTCCGGTCATATTTCTCTCAAATCAGGGACGACGAGGATGGGTACGCTCTGTCCACGGCAAGATGGTCAACGGGTGCAGATTCGGGTTCGAAACGATGCTGATGAAGAGGGGGTTGTTGAGGAGCTCGAGAAGCTCGTCGTCATCATCGCTGTCATCAACGTCGGCGTCGTTGAGCTGTACTTCGATGATGGAATGGGAGAGCACCGAAGAGAATGAGTTGATTGATCCTCCTGGATTCTTCTTGCTGGATTTTTTCATTTTCTTTGAATTAATTAACTCAAGCCCATTCTTCACCGTAGAATTTTCGACTATTTCTACAACATCAGTCGCGTCAAAAGCTGCCATTTCCGTCTGCATATCTCTCTCCCTCTTCGACAGACTCGTTTTCTCTATTGACGCAGCTTCGCCGCTGGAGACAGCGCGCCGGATTCGCCGATTGCGGCGGAGGACTCGCCGCACATAGAAGAAGGCCCGGTGAGGCGTTGCACCACGTTCATGAAGTCGCTGGCGATTGTGTGAATGACTTTGGGTGACACGCAAAATGAGGAGAATGGGGTAAAGAAGGCTATTGCAAAATTACACTTTTGTCCATGAAATTAAGCCTGGTTTGCGAGAAATTTGACCGGAGGGTCAAATTGACTACGGTTTAAAGATTTGAGGAATCCAATTGAATGAACTTAATAGTGAGGGACCACATTGCAGATTGAGCAACAATTGAGGGACCAAAAGTGTGATTTTTCCTTCTTCTTCTTTTTTTTTTTTTTTTTTTTTTTTTTTTTTTTTTTTTTTAATGTGAAATAAGCAAGTAAGAACTTAATATTTTATAGGAATATGACATTTTATTTTTCCCGAGTTATAGGAAAATATTACTTTTTGTTTTTTAATTATACCGTCTTTATTTTTTGTCCCTCAATTGTTTGTAAAGTAGTTATGTTTGCTCATAAATTATTTGCGACATGATTTTTTTTTAAGGGAATTTGCGACATGATTTAATCCTAATCATCATAAAATTCAGAGGCAAAAAAGTCACTGTATAAATAACTGATTAACAAAAAGTGATAACATGTATATAATTTAAAGACGAAAACTGCTATATTCCCATAACTGTTGTCATTTCCCATATTTTATAGCAAGTACTAACTAGTATGTAAAATTTGAACATATTGAATTATCTATTTTTGTTAGCTAAATATGTTTGCCACCTAAAATAAATATTTACTATTTTTATTAAATTAAATTATATAATTGAAAGAGTAAGACTTTTATAATTAATAAGTATGAAATTGAAAGATCAGAGTAAGACTTTTATAATTAATTAAGAATTTGAATTTGAATTTTATAACAAGACAAGATGGTAAAAATACGTAAACAAACATAATAATAATTAAAATCAAATTTAATAGTACGATATGTGATATAAATTAATTGTGACTGTTAGTCAAATATGTTCTTTGAACGCCAAAAAATATAGTACATGCCAATTAAAAAAAAAAAAATACCTATTTATATTAATAATATAACCATAGGAAAAGTATACTTGTGAACTTGACTGGTCAAAGCATACATTTTCCTCGAACTTACTAAATGTATATATACATATACATTTTTTTGAAACACATATATTATAAATTTAGTACAAATATTTAACACAAATAATATCATCCTAATTTAGGCGAATACTCAAGATAAATAAATAAATAAAGAACGCATTAAATTTGGATTGCATTTATAAAGGAGGTAATGCTATAATATAAGTTACTACTTAAATGTGTGCGTTGGATAAATTTCGCTCTTATATGCACTAGATAAACCATACTCATGTATAAGAGGTTTCAAACCACACAATAAAAATAATTTGTACTAGGAAGATCCTATACGACGAGCTCAACCGAGAAGGTGTTAGCAAAAATCAAATTCATGATCTTCTGTTATGCGATTCATACTCCATCTACTTGGTCACTAATTTCGAAACTTTTGAGTGGATTTTTACAACTTTAGGAGGAAGAAAGAGAGAGAAAATGAAAATAATAATAATAATAATAATAATAATAATAACAATAATAATAATTGGGGTGGTTGCCATCGTCCCAACACTTTTTCTTACTTATTTAATTTTTTTTTTTTAAATCCAAACAAAAAGACTATTAAAAAAAGAACCTTACAAATCTCTCTCCTTTTCCTCTCTTTGTCACATGGAAAGAATATCATGAAAAATTCAAAATTTCAAACGAATGATAGATGTTGCTCTAAGGGTTGCTTATTTTGATGAGTTCAATTCTTTTAAATTATTTTTAAAATGTTTTGAATTGTTATTATTTGGCAAAGTAATATAAATATTGTGTGTGTGTGAATAATATTTAGTGTTTTTTAATTAATATATAATTTAAAATTTTAAAAAGTAATTAATTTTAATGATAAAAAATAGAGAAAACTATAAAAATAGTATTGATTAAGATTCACCACATCTTTGACCATGTCAGAAACTGTGAGAAAAGGGTGGGAAAATAAGCAGCTGGGTGATGATTGAGAACCTACACTGAATTGTATGTGAAAAATATTATGACAACTCCCTTAGCTTGCTAGCATCCACAATATAATAGTGGTGTTTGTGAGTTTTTGTCATTTTTGTGTGTATAATGGATTAATGGAGAGAGTATAGAAGAGTAGTTGTTATATATATATATATATATATATATATATATATATATATATATATATATATATATATATATATTCATCAATTTTCTTTAAATCTCACTTTCATGGCTTCAAGTTGTCTCATCTCTCATTTTTTCCCATAAACATACTCAAAGTCCTTTTTGAACGCTATTGAAATTATGTACTTTTTCAGAATATATATATATATATATATATATATATATATATATATATATAATTATAATTATCATTTTCCTTTAAACTTAACTTTCATGACTTTAAGAGCTCAAGTTATTTCATCTCACTATTTTATCCATAAACAAACTTCAAATTCTTTTTTTTTTTGTGTGTGTGTGTGTGTGTGTTAGGTTTGGGAAGTTTTAAAACATCAATAATAATTTTATATATGAAATTTTTTCTACAATATTGATAATGACATGTAAAATCACATATATTACTTTTTGTTATATATTATCATATGCAAATAATACCCGATACAATTAGCTACATCATACTTGTTGTCACGTATCTGCATGCATGTATTATATCTACACCATAAAAAAATTATAGTATATTTAAATTAATGAAATTCCACTATTTTAATTATGATCAGTTAAACAACACCTATTGTTGGATGCAACCGTCTGAATTATGTACAAAATGGGTCACCAATGGTTTATCATATTAATTATATTGTTATTATCGTGCGCGTGACTTAATTAACTAATAATCTCTTGGCTGAACTCGTCGCACAAGATCTTCTTAATGCGATTTACATTTTTTTTTTTTTTGTGATTTGCAAACTATTACACGTGAGTAAAGTTTACTATGTGCATACTCAAATAGTGATTGCAAGTTTCTCTCGTCGTAAAATGAAAGAAATAAAAAACTTAACTATTTAGTTAGTTTATGGACTGAATTTAAATATGACTAAATTTATCGAAAATAAAAGATAATGATTAAATTTATAATTTGAGAATAATCAATTGATTAAAAGTGCATGTCTAAATATAAATTTATATATATATATATATATATATATATATATATATATATATATATATATATATATATATATATATATTTGAACGAGAAGCTAGCTAAGGTGAAAAGTTAATACGATCCTCAAACATTGTATGCTTAGGAACACGCGTACGCATATATGACATAGATATGAAGTCAATAAAATCCTTAAACATTGTACACTTAGGAACACGCATATATGACATAGATATGATGTGTTTTCTAATACATGTCACATAATGCATGCACAAGAAGAAAAATAATAATAGTTATTGGTACCTACTTTATACATAAAATATTTGAAGAGTAGTTTATACACATACATACACACACTCACTATATATATATATATATATATATATATATATATATATATATATATATATATATATAATCGGGATTATATGAGAATTAATAGTCTTGTGAGAATATATGAATTAATTTTATATGTCCATCTAAAAATGATCTAAAGCTGAAAATTGAGAAAAAAAATATCGTAGCATTTTTGTAATTACAATTTTGTGTTTGAAAAAGCTAGATAATGCATTCATGGATAAGTGACCTGTACTCACATGATTGCACTATTAGTTATTACCCATGCACTATCAAACCTTTTCAAATACAGTCGTAATTACATAAATGTCATTGTCTCTCTCTTTTTTTTTTTTTTTTTTTTTTTTTCCTTACTTTCTAGGTCTTGATCGTTCTAAATGGACATATGATATTAGTTCAT